GGGGGGGGCAGAAGACATTGTCTAGTCTTGATAATGTGAAATTGAAATAAAACGTGTATTAGGCTGATTTTCATAAAAGTACTAGTTTTTTTCATTACACACCTAGGTGTGATGAACAGCAGACGAGATAAACCTTATAGTCACGAGGACCTGCTGTTCAGTGGTTGAAATCGCCAACCTAAGCCCCGGAACTTGGAGCGGCGAACCACATAAGGCCCCGATAGGTTAGGTTAGGCGTGGTATTGAACCGGACGACAGCAGAGCTGCCTACAACCGTTACCGTTACCGTTCCCCACGGACTCTCATCGTACGGTATGCCGAAAATCTACGATCACGCGTGGAAAATATTCGTCATCTATTCGCCGATGTTTATGTGGTTTGGCGCCGGTTGGATCGAGCAAGCGTGTATGCAACTCTGAGGTAAACCGTTGCGTATTTGGTAACGTTTCAATGGGGAATTCTTTGTTCCATCAAATTCCGATTAGTCGGTTGCGCTGGTCTGGGGACGTATTGCGCATGCCCAGCTGCCTTATTCTCAGTTGTGGCTCCAGGTTGGAGGAAACCACGTGGAGGTCGACAGATGACTTGGAAACATGACGTAAATAAATGCTCAAAGTGATTAGGTAGAATCTGTGTCTCGCAGCTTCCCGGTTGGAATCCGAAAGACTCTGCAACTGGGTGTTTGGGGACACTAAAGGACTTGGCAGTGAACCGACGGTATTGGCTTTCTTGTTGTCATCTTTTATCTGGTCTGAATGCTTGAAAATGTATGCATGCACAATTAGGTTGTGTACCCTGTGTGTTGAGCATAGACGTTCACTTTCTTCGTCTCCCAAACTCTATCCGTCCTGTATTTTCCTACTTACTTTGTTTGTATTGTCAGTTTGGTAGCGATCAGTGAAGTTCACTTCATTCTATTTCGCTGCATGATGATGACATACAAATAGGAGTGCAGCTATGTAATACTTTGGCATTGATCTCTAGTTGTCCTACCAAACTTGTGCTCTGCTAATTCCATAGCTTTTGTTCCATCCGTTTCAGTAATGTCTATGCACCGATCGAAATTTCTTTTGCATACACTCGCCTGCTTACAAATGTGAATTTCACGCCCCAAACACCTAAAACTGGAAAACGCCGAGGAGTCTTGTCGGTGTTTAGGTATATGTGGGTGCTTTTTTTACCGGGGTGGACTCAACCCCAAACCCGTAGCAGAACCAGCAGCATGGCAATCATGGCTGCGCTTCAACTGAGGCAGATCCAGCCAAGCTTATAACTTAATCAGATCGTGCCTCAGATGCATACTCTACAGATAAAAAATCTTGCTGGTCAGTGGCACATCGAAATGTCGACATCCTCGTACGGGCTTAAAAAGGTGCCTAAGGAGAGCAATCGTAACAAACGGCTTTCGTGAAACGGTCGGACCAAAGGGACCCAGATTTATGAGATCGGTTTTAGTCATATTCATGTGGAGCAAGGACACCGCCATGGTGCAGTACGGTTGACCGTGATGGGTGATGGGTCTCTACGAAACACGTGCATGCATTGGACAATTGGAAAAACAATGAAGTTATGATAGATGCAGCTCGGAACATGTGTGTACAATCAGCCCGATTTACACCTATCTCTGGGTTCATTTTTTCCAGTCTAAGATCATATTATAATAGTGTAATTGAATGAAAAAGTTTGATATCATTAAGGGCCAGCTAAACTTCATTCTGAACTGCTCTGTTCACTAGTCCAAATGACTCGGCTGAACATCAGTCAGTGAGTGCACTGTAGAACTGATTTAACCGGAGTTTTGCTCTTGATTAACTGAAAATAAATGGACAGTGTTATCAATAGTCACAACATTTTCCACTTTGCGGTCGGTTTTCAAATATATGTTGATCTAGTATTGTCTACGAAATTCGCATGTATCAATAATTTTTTATCGGGAGTTAGCCTAATTTCGAAAAGAGAAAAATACGTTTGTTCATATTTTGATGAAACATGAAAGTCACACAGTGGACCCACTCTTGCACAGCTGCTTCCGCTTTACTGGCTGCCAGGAGCAAAGCTTCCTCAAGCGCATTCAATGCGTCCGGGGAGGTTTCGTCTCGCTGGATATCATTCAACAACAAAGTCAATCGCCCGGGCGGAACTACAGATTGTAAATACTTGGTTGCGTAATCCAAATCTGTGGTGAAACGGTCCAGACCAGTAGATTCGCGTGGAGATCGAACAGCCTGACGAAACATACGATCACTCTCTGGGTGTGGAATTCGACCGATGATCGGTGGTAGGAGACCTTTTTCAATCAGCCGTTTGCGGATTTGTTTTGCTCGTTGCGTGGGCGGAATGGTCGAGGTGAATAGTTGACTACTCGGTCGCAAGGTTTGGGCTCGTTTAGTTTGATCCTCCTCCATCGATGTGATATCTTCCAATTGGATTTCCGATTCATCTGCATCTAGATGAATAGTCCATTGATCAGCGTCTTCCAGATTTTTGATCAAGTACTGCAAATGTGCTCCTTTATCTTCAAAACGATTGATCAGTCTGTCACCCTTCACTCGGGGTACCTTACGTGATGTTTCCGATTTGATTTCACTCGACAAAGCCTGATAGTCAGATTGCGGTCCGGTGGTCGATTTGACTTGAGACGCTAACAGCGTATCAAGCCATGTCCATATCCCTGTGGCTCGGGGCGTGACCTCTTCCATTTCGGATAGCCGATGAACTTCCGTGCTCAATTGACCCACCTGTTCACTCACCAATTCGGTTGTTTGTGCTTGAGCTTCTTCCGGTAAGGTATCTTTTCCCACACTGTGTTCAACATTGATTGCACCTTCTGGGATCGGTCCACCGGAACTGACGGTCGTACCGAAACTGGATGCAAAACGGAACGGGGGCTCTCGTCTTTCTGGCATCAATCTTATCGTCCGTGGAGATGATGATGTTAGGTCTGTACCAACCGCTCCGGATGTGGCTTCGACCAAAGCATCTATGTCATCTTTCCGTATGCGGCCCATAGGAGATCGACGTGCCACACCTGGTCGGGTGCGGAGTGCTGGCTTGTCCGTGTACAGGCTTGTCAATTGGGGCTGAGCAATTCGTCCCTGTCGAGCCCTTCTCGATGTGGCCTTAGACGGTACTTTTGGTTGTGTACTGGCTGCACCGACTTTAGTCACGACCGCAAGGGATCCGGAGGCAGCTTTCGAACGAGGTCCTAGTGGTTTTTTCCTCGGTGGAATTGGTTGTTCTCCGGGTAGGAGGGTCAAAATATCTTTAAACTGGGATTTGAATATGGACATGCCCGTCATGATAGGAATATAACCCTCGGGAGTGAGTTGGTCAACGAGATCTTTCTCCGCACCGGTTATCGGGGATACGGATTGTGGTTTGGCTCTAATGGACGACGGTTCTTCCTCCGGTTCCGGCTTGGGTTTAATCGTCAGTTCCGCTCCGGGCATGACTGCTCGACTGGCGATTTGCATTCGTCCGGTCTCGTAGGTGATCATTTTATCCCTAAAATTGGAATGTGAACAGGGTTGGTAGAATGGGATTGTGAATTTCACAAATGGATGCCCGTAACTATATTTCCAATCTTTATTGAGGTGTGTGTGTGCGTGTGTGTGTGTGTGGTTTATGTTTGAAACAATGGCAAAACTATAGGGTAATTCTATTTTGCCTGTTCGCCGAGCTCGGTAATTTGTTTGCAAACGTTTCATCACCAACCGAGGTGACATCATCAGTACTTGTGAAGTGGCAGTCTTCTGCTTGTTGTCTTTTGCTTGTTCGTTTATATATGTGTTCTTCTCCGCCGACCATTGTTGTCCCTTGTACTCATTGTGTTCGACACGGTTTGCCGTTAAACTGCTGCGAGGGGGTTATGGTAGGAGGGCAGGTGGTTGTCTTTCCGC